AGGGTGGGCAGTGGCAGGGCCTGTGGCCCCCAGTTGGCCAGGCTGAGAGCCAGACTGGGGCCTGAGGAAGGTGCACCTGGCTTCCCGGAGCCAGGCAGAGCCACTATTTATAGCACTGGGAACTCGGCTGGTTTATTTCAAGCTTCATAGATCCCCGGAGGAAAGCAGGCTTCAAGCTGGGAGGGGGCCTCTGGGCCCTCTTTTCATCTCCTTTCCTACACTGTTTCCAGCAGCTTCCCCACCCTAGCCCAACGTAGCATGAATCTGCCGCTTTGTGGACTCTCAGCCTCCTGGTAGGGTCCTCATCATCTCCCTACTTGGCAGAGCAGAAAACTGGGGCCTTCATTGTTTAAGACAGAGCATTAGTGTCAAAGCACAGAAAAGGACGGGTGAAACAGACATTCGTTGAACCCCAGCTCTGAACCAGGCCAGCTGGTCTCCTGTGAGAACTCACAGACAGACCCAGAGAGGAAAGACTTGTCTAAGGTCACACAGCAAGTTAGAGATGGCCAGGAATGAGACCCGGGCCCCATGACCAGCCCTGGCCCTAGACAGGGTGTGCTCACTGATTAATTCTTCATTTATTCATTCATTCATTCATTTGCACTTTGTGTTGGGTGCCTCACTGCTGGGTTCAGCACAGGGCAGGGACATTGTAGCTCACTGGGCAGGTGGTGAGATGGGTGCTCACCACAGCCCCTCCATATGCTCTGTGTCCCACAGGAGGACCCTCATGGAAGGAGCCGGAGGCAGAGCACCACAAGAAGGTGCCTCGGGGTGAGGTTGGCAGCCGGAACATCCCACGGTCTACCCTGGAGCATGGCTCAGATGTGTACCTTCTGCGGAAGATGGTAGAGGAGGTGTTTGATGTTCTTTATAGTAAGATCCTTCCTCATTCCATTTGGGGTCCCCAGGTGGGTGGGAGCCCCAGTTCCCGCCCAGATGAAGAGGTTCCCTTCTTCTGCCCCAGTATGGATCCTAGGCAATACTTCAAGGCATAGGGCATTGCCCCCAGCTCTCCTATATCCCGCATCCCTAGATGTGGATCTTTCACCTCAGCTCCGTTTCCTGAACCACCATCCGCTCTGCCCCTGCCCTGGCACTGGTCACTGCCAGCTCTCACCTGGAAACGGCCACTGCTGCCCTTACCTACCTGTGACCAAGGGCATCTTCCCAAAGTACAAGTCTGACCATGCTCTTCCCCACACTGCCTTCGTGGGCGCCCCAGCACCCTCAGTGTGGCTTAAGCGCCCACCACACCCCCTCCCCACCCACCTCTCCAGCTGGGCTGACCCACCTCGTAGAACCACTTCCTGTTCGCCAGCACACTGCGGCTTCATTTCACACCTGCTGGCCTTTGTGCCACTGTGCGTCTGGGGACTGCCTTCTCCTCTGTACAGTGGGCACCATATTACTCTAAGGCTTAGCTCCAGGATGCCCCCCACACACTGGTTAGGGCCCCCTCTGGGGGTACCGAGCCCTATCCCTTCACTAGCCCAGCTGCTCTCAGCTGGGTCAGGGCCTGTGCCTGCAGTTTCTGTGGACCCCAGCCTGCAGGTTGGGCCCAGCAGCAGCAGGTGTTCAGAGGGTGTTTGTTGAATGACTGAGTGAAGGCTGTCAGCCAGGTCCTTCCTGCTGGGGTGAGGAGGGACAGGCCTGGCCTTTCTTAGGAAGTGTCAGGCTTCAGAGTCTCAGGGCCCAGTGGTAGCCTTCACACTCCCTAGGTGACCTTGGGCGGGTCCCTCAGGGTCCCACCCAAGTCAGCTTTATTCTTTTCCCTATTTAGTTTTTGATTCTGTGGAGCAAAGGTCCGTGAAGAAACTCCTGCTGTTGTTTAGGTGTCAGGAGAAGAAGGCTGAGGGGGAAATAAGGGGCCCAGAGATCCTGGGTGAGCACACTGGCCACCTTAGGACAAGAGGACTTGTGTTACTTGTGGTTGGCTGTGCCACTGCAGACATTTTTGTCAGCTGCGGCGTTCATGCCCAGAGCCCCTGTGCCTCTGCCCACTGTGCCCTGGCCCCCTTCCCCACCTTGGACAGAATCAGAGGTGGCAATGAGGTGAGGGACCTCTTTCTGGCTCTGGGTGGGGGCTGTATCATGGAGGCAACAACAGATGTTTATGAGCCCACCCACCCCCTCAGTTCCTAGTCAGTCTCCCCTCTACTCACCCCTTCCCTCAGCCTTCCCATCTTCTCGGCCTGCCTCTCCTGTCTTTCTGAATCCTCTCTGTTCCTCCGTGTCCTGTCTTCCTTACCCTCTCCCTCTCTCTCATTCCCCTGGCCCTTTCTCCCTGTGGCTTTTTCCTTGCAATCTCTCTCCTGCCTCCTTTTCTCTCTCATCTTTCTCACCCCTCTCCCCTCCTCACCTCCTGCCCATAGCCTGCTTTTCCCTCCACCCAAATGCCCAGAGTGGAGAAGAGAAAGGCAAAGGAAGCAGGGACCCCTCTGGGTAGCCTGGCCCTCAGACAATGGGGCCTTATCCACAGTCCCCACCCACCAGCCTATGGGGGTTATTCTGTGTGAAGTTTGCATTTAAGGAGCTAAATAAGTGGGGCTCTGTGTCCTGGGAACCCAGCACCAAGGGGAGTCACTCAGCATGGCCCCAGCTCTAGAGCATGTCTGGCCCCCATCCCATCCTGACTGCCCTTTCATACTAGGCCCTCTCCTTGACCCCTCCCCCCACAGGCGAGGCCCTGGGAAGGGCCAGCGTGGTGCCACTGCCCTACGAGAGGCTACTCAGGGAGCCAGGGCTGCTTGCTGTGCAGGGGCTGCCCGAGGGCCTGGCCTTCCGGAGGCCAGCTGAGTATGACCCCAAGGCCCTCATGGCCATCCTGGAGCATAGCCATCGTATCCGCTTCAAGCTCAAGAGGTGAGTGAGGCAGCCTGCCTGGTTGTGGGCCAGGGTCTGTGGCTGGACCATAAAGGCCTGGCCAGGAAAGGCTAGGAGGGTGACCTGCTTCCATGCTGGCTCAACACCTGTGGTCACTTACCCAGCCAGAGGGGTGGGGACTTCAGACTGCCACGGGGGACCCTGGTTGTAAAAGCTCCCTGTCGTGGAGTGTGATCTGAGCCAGGCATTTAGTCACGGAAATCCTCCCAGGGGGCCTCTGTGTTGCAAAGAGGCTGGAAGAGACTTATTTAGTTGGGGAGAAAATAGCACCAACAGCACCACAGACTTCAGAGACAATTTACTGCAGCTGAAAAGACAGTTGGTCGACTAGGGCATGGAGGTGGAGGGTGGTCCCAGGTCCTCCAGTGCCCCAGCTGTGTGCCCCTGGGCACATCATGCCCCACCCCAGGCCTGCACACCCACCTGTAAAATGGGGAATGGCTCCTGTCCTGTGCACCTCACAGGCTGTCATGTTCTGTGGAGGGAGAGCTACGGGGCTGCACAAGAAATGCAGCCAGCGGGACAGGTGCACAAAGCCATCATGTGTCCTTCTCTCCTTTGCCCAGGCCACTTGAGGATGGTGGGCGGGATTCAAAGGCCCTGGTGGAGCTGAACGGTGTCTCGCTGATAGCCAAGGGGGCTCGGGATTGTGGCCTGCATGCCCAGGCCCCCAAGGGGCCACCCCAGGACCTGCCCCCCACCGCCACCTCCTCCTCCATGGCCAGCTTCCTGTACAGCACTGCACTCCCTAACCATGCTGTGAGAGAATTCAAGCAGGAGGTGTCCTCATGCCCACTTGCCCCCAGTGACCTGGGCCTCGGCCGGCCTGGGCCTGAGTCCAAGACTCCCGCTGCCCAAGACCTCCCTGACTGCTGTGGTAAGCTGCTGCTGGGACCCCCAAGTCTGGGGGTGGGACAGACGTCATTCATGCAGGGCACCCTCCAGGGCAAGTCAGGGTACTCAGGTCCTCCCAAAACTGAAGAAGGAATGTCAGGGCAAGGGGCTGGGGCTAGGCAGATGGCATCCTAGCTTAGACCCAGTCAGATGCCAGGCCTTCACTCAACCATCTGTGAACAGTGTCCTTGGCCTGGGACCAGGAGACACCCGAGAGGATTCCCAGAGGAGTCTATGGAAAACATGCTAATCGGTCACATGCATTTAATAAGCAACTACTATATACCCACTGGATTAGGGATCCTGGAAGCATCAGAGAAGGAAGAGCCAGCTATGAGAAAGACTTGTGTTCATATCCTGGCTTCTCTACTTAGCGGCTAAGTGTCCTGGAGCAAATCTCTATCTCTGTGAGCCTCAGTTTCCTCATCTATAATATGGAGATGCCAGTATTACCTATCTCGAGGTGTTGTTATCATGATTAAATGACAGAGCATGTTAGAAATGCACATTCTCAGGGCCCACAGAGTCTGGCTAAGTCTGAAGCTTTGGGGGCAGGGCCCAGCTTTCTGCAAATTGACAAGTCCACCAGGTAGTTCCAGTATACATTCAAGTTTGAGAACTGTATTAAAACACATCCAAAGCTTGACACAAGTTATATTTACTGTTGTTATTATTATGAGGAGAAAAAAGAATGCACACTCACATACACGTGTGTGGGCTGAGTAGGGCAATGGGACTTACATGACTGTTTTGTTCCCACCTGTAAAAGGTGACCTCAGACATCCTGCCCTCCCTGATCTGCTGTTTGGATAGCAGACTGCTAAAAAATGTCTCAGGCCTCTGGTTAGGGAGCTTGCCTGGAGTTCATGATCACAGGACTCCGTTTTGGGGTGTTTGTGTTGGGTAAGACTGTTATCCCAGAGCCAGTGCCTATGCACTGAGGCCAGATCTGGTGAAGCCTCTTGGAGTCTCCACCTCGAACCTGTACCTTTCCTTTTCCTTGTCCAGGACAGAAGCCCACCGGGCCTGGTGGGCCTCTCATTCAGAACGTCCATGCCTCCAAGCGCATTCTCTTCTCCATTGTCCATGACAAGTCAGGTAGGACAGTGCCCGTGGCAGCACCCTGACCAGAGTGGGAAGCTGGGGCTGGGGACGGTGCTTGATAAAATGAAAATATGTCTGCCAGCTCTTTGTGAGAGAAAGGAGGACAGCTCTGCACAAGGGACTTGTGAGTAAAACCCGAGTGTAATAGTTAACGTATTGCCGCATAACAAAGTGCCCCAAAACTTAGCTTAAACCAACAAGCCTTTATACCTTACAGTTTCTGTAGGACAGGAATTCAGGAGCAGCTCATCTGGGTGTTCTGGCTCAGGATCTCTCATGAGGTTGTCATCAAGGTGTCGGCAGTGGCCATGATCATCTGAAGGCTTGACTGAGTCTGGAGGATCCACTTCTAAGCTCAGTGGTGTGGCTGTTGGCAGGAGACCTGTTCTCACTCCGTGGGCCCCTGCATGGCTGCTTGAGTGTCCTCACAATATGGCAGCTGGTTTCCTGAAGTTAGTGATCTCAGAGAGAGTAAGAAACAAGCCACTTGTCTTTTATGACCTAGCCTCAGAAATCACTGTCACTTCTGCCATACTCTACCCAGTAGAAGCCAGAAGCTTGATCCAGTCCATACTCAGAGAGAGAGGGAAATTAAACCACCTCTTAAAACAAGGAGTATCAAAAAAACGTGGACAGATTTGAAAGTACCCGAGAGAGACCTGAGAGCAGGAAAATTTGGGATTAATTTATACCAAGGAGGGACGAAGTAAGACTTTCCAACAGTTTTGCCTCCTGAAGGTCTCAGCCTCCTCATCTTCAATGAGAGGCTCTTTCTAGAAAACCTAGTCCCTTGGGATGAGAGTGGAGACCCCACTGTGCCAAACAAGGTCCATCCCTAGCAAGGAGGAAACGTGGATATCCAGATGGAACAGCATCATGGGAGGGGCCATGGTGGGCAAGGGGTACAAACTGGGATAGAACCTCACTGGGTACTAGCTGGGTGATCTCAGGCAAAATACTGAGCCTCTCTGAGCCTCAGTTTTCCCATCTGAAAAATAGAAATAATAACTGTTTAAAGGTTGTCATGAGGGATTAAGTAGAATTATATATATATATATA